GCGCCCCTGCAGTTCCAGCTACTTGGAAGGCTGAGGCGGAAGGATCGCCGGAGCCCAGCGGGTTGAGGCTGTGGTATCCGGGAGCGGCCGCTGCACTCTAGTCTGGGCGACAGAGTGAGACTCCGACTCAAAAGACAAAAAGATTGGGGCGTCCAGCCCCGCAGCAGGTGTGACAGCGTGGGCTCTGGCCCCAGCATTCTTATGGAGGGAGCCTTGTTGTGACTGCTCATCCCTTCTTCAGCGGGGGATCCACTTCTCCATTGTGTCTCCCCGGAAGCTGCCTGCCCTTCGGCTTCTGTTCGAGAAGGCGGCTCCCCCGGCCATGCTGGAGCCGCTGCAGCCGCCCACTGACGTGAGCCAGGACCCGAGGCACATGGTGCTGGTTCGGGGGCTTGTGCTGCCTGGTGAGGCCCAGCCGCTGGAGGGGATGGGGGTGTAGGGGGTGTTTCCCCAGCTCCCACTGACTTGGATTTTGAATTTCCCTTCCCTCTTTTTACCTTGAACCCCTTCTCACGGGGCTTGGTCATCCAGTCGGGGGTGGCTCAGCGCCAGGCCCCCTCCAGCCAAAACAGCCGGTCCCCCTGCCTCCTGCTGCACCCTCGGGTGCCACTCTCTCAGCAGCCTCCCAGCAGTCTCTGCCTCCCGTGCCCCCGCAGTACCAGGTATGGACTCCCCAGGAAGGGACATGCTTCTGGGGCCTTGCAGGAGCCATAGACCCTTGGGGGAGATCTGACTGGATGTTGAGGCTTGAGGGGTGATGGGAGTTCCCCTCGGGACCATGGAATCATGTCACCCAGGTGATGGAAGTTGTGAGCTGTCTGAGCTGGGGTGCCTGTGCCTTGTGGGGGCTGCGGGTGGTGTGGTCTCATGGGACGCTAGGACCGGGGGCATATAGTCCTCAGCAACTGATTCTCCTCTGCCCCCAGGTTCCTGGGAACCTGAGTGCAGCTCAGGTGGCTGCCCAGAATGCGGTGGAGGCTGCCAAGAACCAGAAGGCAGGGCTGGGCCCTCGCTGTGAGTCTGGGGGTAGGGATGCAGGGTGGGTGGGGCTGGGCAAGCCTCTCTCCACGTGCCTGTTCCCACTTCTTCCTTTCATTTCTCCTACAGTCTCGCCCATCACCCCTCTACAGCAGGCCACTCCAGGAGTGGGTCCCCCCTTCAACCAGGCCCCAGCCCCCCCACTACCCTCAGGACCCCCTGGTGCCCCCAAGCCACCTCCTGCTTCCCAGCCCAGCCTGGTCTCTCATGTGGCCCCTGGCCCAGGCCTGGCGCCCCCTGCGCAGCCTGGGGCTCCATCCATGGTAGGTACCTGCATGCCTCCTGCCCCGCTCCCTCCTCCCGGCTGCCTGGGGCTGAGATAATTAGAGAACAAGTAATTTGACTTCCTGAGGAGTTCCTGAGGGGATGTGGGTCTGGTGGCCTTGGGGCCTCAGGGATTCGTGGCACATGTGCTGCAGAAGACTCTGATTCTAGTGGGTCTATAGACAGATGTGAGGCCTGTGGCTCCAGGCGGGTTAAAGCTGTTGTGAGAACCTTACGGGATCCTGGGGATCTGCAGGTCTGGGAGGCCAAGGCATCATGGCACTTGCAAGTCCTAGCCTCCTACAGTTGGCATTTAGGGTCCCAGGGACCACCGAGAGCTGGTGTGAGGACAGGGATGCAGGGAAAGGGACCTCTCCTGGTCTGCCCCTCTAAAAGGATGGCCCCTCCCAGGAATTGGTCTGTCCCCACCCTCATTGCCCTCCTTATTCCTCTGGCAGGCAGGCACAGTGGCCCCAGGAGGAGTAAGTGGCCCTTCCGCAACCCAGCTCGGAGCCCCTGCCCTTGGTGGGCAGCAGTCAGTCTCCAATAAGCTCTTGGCCTGGAGTGGTGTCCTCGAGTGGCAGGAGGTGAGTGGCCTTGAGGATCTGCTGGGCTCTTGGGACTCATGGAGCTGTGGAATTCATGGGCTGGGCATGGGGACTCAGGGTCAGGCCAGGACCCCCGTGGACTTTGGCCCATAGGAGAGTCCTAAGGAACCAAGGCATTTGTGGCTCACCTCAGGACTCGGGGGGTATTAAGAATGGTGTTGCAGCCCGGCTCGGTGGCTCAGACTGTAATCCCACGCCTTTGGGAGGCTGAGGTGAGTGGATT